GTATTACAGCAGCCACTGATATTTTCCTAATATGTCCATAACTCTGTAATGTTTGTATTGTTCCTATGCTATTTCATAAATGGATGTAAGTTTATTATTATGTGTTTCCTACAACAACCATTGAGAATAGTCAATGATTATTCAATTGGTCACTCATGTATAGCTCCATTTATTTTCTTTAGAAGCCACTTTGAAGATACCAAAGTATAGTACAACAACCACTGATAATCTCCTACCCCTTTTGTCTGTAACTCACTATTATGTGTCTATTTGTTTTCCTGAGAAACTATCTTGTAGATAACAATATGTAAAACAATAACCGCTGATAATTTCCTACCACTTTGTCTGTAATTTGGTAAGCCCTCCATTACTATTTTATCCTTCTTTTACTCTTTAAAATAAAAAATTAAAAAAAAAAAAAGAAAAAGAAAGTACAGGTACATGTTGCAACATGGATGAGCCTTGATGTCATTAGGTCAAGTAAAAGAAGCCTGTCACAAAAGACCAGGTATTTTAAGACTCCATTTATATTAAATGACCAGAATAGGCAAATACATATAGATAAAAAGTAGAATAGTGACTACCAGGGCCAGTAATGAGTGCTAAGTGTAGGATTAGGGGCTAACAGCTAAAGTATACGAGCTTTCTTTTGATGGCAATGAAAATGTTCTAAGATCTACTGTGGCATGAGACATATACAACTCCAAGTATACTTTTAAAAACCCATTAAAACATACTACTTAAATGAATTCTATCTCAATAAAGCTATTTTAAATGGAGGAAAGTGAAGGAGGGATAAAGGAAGAACGCACATAGGAGCTTCTTCCTTTCTTCTGTCTCTCAGATTTTAACACATATACTGACCACTGGAGACTTTGATAAATGCAGATTCTGGCTAAGTGTAGTGGGGAACCTGGGATTCTACACTGCAAAAAAGCTGCCACTTGATCTCCGTGCTTCTGGTCCACCCTGGATCGTACTTTGAGGATGGGTATCGGTACCTTCCAGGTGCCCAGCATGCATGAGCCAGGCTTACTTTGTGAGAGTGATGTCTTAATTGCTTTCTGCATCGCTGAGGCACAATACCCAAAGCCAAAGTTAAAGGAAGAAAGGTTTATTCTGGCTTAGTTTACAGAGTTTCATTCCATAGTTAGAGGGCTCTAAGGCAGGATGGTATGGCAGAGGGGCATCACAGCAGAAGCAGAAGCAGCAGCAGCAGCAGCAGCGACAGCAGCAGCCCTCTTTCTATCCAGTATATTTGATCCAGGCTACTCGCCCTTAGGGCAGGTAGCACTCATACCCAGAATGGGCCTTCCCATTATCCACACCAGAACTATGCCAAACCAATCAGTGGACTAACTTAGTAATCACACACCCTTGACCTCAGCATCATACAATCCCAGCATCACACACTCTAGATCTAGCCACCTCTGAAAAGCCCCAGCTATGAACACATGAGGCTTTAGGGAGAACCATTCATAATAGGAGGTCATCTAGACACAAGCCATAACAAGCAATATGTAACCTCATCACCTAGTTGAGCCAACGGGCCCAGGAATGGGCATCTGACTCAAGCTGGGGCTATCAGGGGTGTCTGAGACTGTTTTCTGTTGCTAAAACAAAATACCAGAAACTGCACAATTTATAAAGAACAAAAGTTTATCTACTAACTCACAGCTGTGGAGGCTGGGAAGCCCAAAAGCATGATGCCAGCATCAGGGAAGGCCTTGCTTGCTACATCACAATATGGAGGGCATGCATGGCCAGACAGAGCACTTGGCTAGCTTGCCACTGTCATCTTTTGCAGCCACCAGTGCCATGAAAGAGTCCCCAATCTCATGACCCCACCTAATCTTAGGCCCCACCTCCGGACACCACGAATATGTGACTTTGAGGACTAAGTCCCCAACATGTGAACCCTGGGGGACACATCAAAACAACAGCATGAGGCTCCGAGGAGCAGAAACTGGAACATTAAGCTACTTGTGGGTCAGTGTGAGACAACACAGGGAGAGGTCGTGTGGTCCCAAGCCAAGGCAGTCCTTGCCCGCACTGGAACTATGGAAAGGGTGAAAGCCGGTCTGTAGAGAGGGGGAATGCTGTGGAGAGGAGCAGGAAGGAGAACTACCCTAGCCCAGAGACTTCTGTCATCCTGTTCCCCGCTGCAGCTCCCATTCCACATCATTCCTACAGGTCCCTCTTTTGTGTGATAGTTTGCGTGATGGCTCATCTTGAATGCTACCAAGCAGGACCTAGTTTTCTAAATGAGCATTTAAGTTGTTTTACATTATCTGGTATTAGAAATACTGTTCTTCCTTATCGTGCAGTGTGTTTTCCCACACTCATCTGTTGTTTTCTTGAATAAATTCTGGGGCTTTTTCCCCCTGAGACAGAGACTCACTATGTAGTTTAGGCTGGCCTGGAAGTCACTAGGTAACCCAGGATAGCTTCAAACTTGTGATAATCCTCCTGCCTCAGCCTACTGAGTGCTAGGATTATAGGCGTGTATTACGACATCCAGCTTTTTCTTGGATAAATTCTTAGTCATGGGCTCCCACCAAAGCTTGCATCAAGTTAAATTAGCCTAGTGGTAGGAGAACACACTTCTGATTTCTTCTTTTTGTTGTTGTTTGTTTGCTTTTTTTTTTTTTGAGACAGGGTCTTCCTATGTAGTTTAGACTTACCTTGAACTCACTGTGTAGCTCAAGCTGGCCTCAAACTCACAGTGACCCTCCTGCCTCCGCCTCCCAAGTGCTGGGATTACAGGTGTGCACCGCCACACCTGGCCCACTCTGGTTTCTGACCTAAATTTCTACCCTGCAGTTATGTCATAGTAAAGCTTGGAAGTCTGTGAGTGGAAAGTTCCAGCATTTGCTAACTTTGACTTGGCTTAGATCCTCTAGGTGCTCAGAGTTGGATGAGGGCCTAGCAGTCATGGCCAGCACCACCCACAGTGTCCCTGGGGGCGCTCCGCAGTCCAGTCTGGAACCTTCTGTCAGCCTGGTGTGAACTGTCCCACACGCAGCCTCTTCTGCCTGTTGTAAGGGACCTACTTCTTGCTTCTCTTGCTGTTTGCTGACAGTCTCTGGTCTTTCTGTGAGAGCTCACAGAGTAAACATCATCCTTCTCCTGGAGAGCTTCTCACATATCTCACAAAGTAGCTTTTTAAGAAATGGTTCCTACTGTAGTCGATCAATATTGCTAAATACACGTGCACTGTTGTGCAGCCGATCTCCGACTCTTCCATGTTGCCAGACCGAAGCTCTATACCCATTAACCAGCAGCTCCACCTGGTACCTTGCGAAGCCCAAAGAGAAAGTGGGGTGCCGAGCAGGCACGATTCCCAGGAATCAGAACATCTCATTTCACGACTGCCGTTCTCACTCTCCCACTGAGAAGAGAGACTGAGGCTGCCTCAGGTGTACAGGGCCATGAGATCTCAGTCCACCCGTGAAGATCATTAAACCCGCAGCTTTTTAGTACGGAGAAGTGGCCTTTCCCCACACCTGGCGTGGAAGATACAGGAGGAGTCGGAAGTGGCAGAAGACCAGGGGCCACCTGGCAAGCAAACCACACAGCCCCTGTCCTAGGCACTGCGGTTACACCAGTGATAAAAAGTCTCCCCAGACCCCCAGAGGGAGCTCTGTCTTGCTGACACCTTCAGTACAGCCCAGAGATGCCGACCCGGAGATGGACTCCAGAACCCTGAGAAAACAAACTGCTCTTGGTTTCGGGGACCAGGTTTGTGGTACCTTGCTACTGGTACCGCAGGGAACTAACACATGTTATCAAACTTCCGGTGGAGGTTTAGAGGGGTGGGGGATAATGACACCTTGGAAGACTGGAATGGATACAAAAGGTATTAGGTGAGTTTTTTCCTAGCTTCTCAGAACTCCAAATAATACAAAAATAAATAAAATAGAAAGTGAGAATTCCCTGCAGTTGGGGATGGAGATCAGGGTTGGAAATAAGAGGTCAAGGATAATAATATGACTGAGTGAAACAACACACACACACACACACACACACACACACACAGGCTGATTCTTCTTATGAGAGAATCCTAAGTAATGAAATGCAGAGACAGAAAGCAGCATGGTGGATTGCCAGCCTGCGGGGCAGAACTTTTGGCACACGGCGCCATCTAAAGCCCTGCGCTGAGACGTGACCAGACTCTATCATGGGTCACAGCAGTGTAAGGCTGTCCCCAGATGATCCCAGCCCCATTAAAATGCCTTCCTGAGAAAGCTCAACACTGCCCAGAAAATGACCGCTGTGCTGGCTGACACCTCACAGCAGGCCCTTGGCCACCTTTTCTTAGAGCACGGAGTGAAATAGCTCCCAGCTGTGGCTGTGTACCTCTGGCAACTCAGAAGTAGCTCTCTCAGGGACCCGAGCCATTCCTCGAAACGCCATCAGAAAGGTCGGGCTCTGCCTCCCAGTCTCGGTGGGTGGATGGAATCCTAATTGCCTGGCTGCCGGTCGGCAGACACAGCTGGGGTGTCACACCCACACTGCCCGCCTTTGTGCTTGTTCCCTGCTCTGATGCCACCAAGGCCCCACTCTCCCTTTAAAATGCCGCATCACTTCTGCAGAGATCAGAATGGAGCTCAGCTCTTTCCTCTGCTCTCAGCAGTTATTGAATAAAATCTCTTTCACCCCTGCAGTGCCTGTACGTGTCTGTCTTTGACATGAGGAGCGAGGAGAGGGGTAAATGGAGAGTTCGTGTTTATGAGGACCGAGTTCCGGTTTGGAACAATGAAAACATCCTGGCTGTGGAAGTCGGGGTGGTTGCACAATAATGTGAAAGCCTTTAATGCCCCTGCACTGTCCACTTCAAAATGGTTAAAATGTTACATTTAGCCAGGTATAATCCCAACTCTCTGGGAGGCTGAGGCAGGAGGATTGCAGATTCAATCTTAATGACTTAGCAATACCTCTCTAAATGTAAAAACGGGGGAGGGCTTGGGGATGTAACTCCGTGCAAAGGCCCCGGGTTCAACTTCCAGTATAGTAGAAAAGGTACAAATTTTATATTATATCTCTTTGCAGTAATAAAACTCACGCAGTCTGGTGACGGGTGATAGAGAATCACACAGGTGATAAAAGTGTGTAGAATACACACACATACACACACGAACTGAGGCCATCTGAGCAGGCTCAGGGGGGGCACCAATGTCAGAGGGTACAGACAGGCCTCGAAGGGACGGCTGAGTCGCTGTCAGGAGGCCACAAGCCCCTCCCTTTCTTGGAGGGCACGGAGCCTTTCATTTCTGTTCTACCTGCCCACCAGCTTCCTCTCTTCTGATTTTGATTTGCGACATGATCTTTCAGTCCCAGAGTGCAGTCTGCGCCACTCGGCTCGATGCCCAGTTGCGCGGTGCCAGGGGTCCCGTGGGTCCATCCTGCTCGGGTGTCCAGCCTGCCCTGGTGCAGTTTCCCAGGCCATGGCAGGGAGCAGAGCCCGATGCCCATAGCCCCCTCCAGCGGGGCTGGGAGGGAAGACAGCTCCAGCGGGTCCGTGAGCCGCCTGGACCGCCTAACCTCACTGATAGTCTCTGAGGAGGCCGAGTAGGACCAGGAAATGTCACTGCTTTGCGCTGGGATAACCCTGCCCCTTGGGTGTTTCCAGGGTTGTCGCATACTCCCACAGCTATGGTATCAGTGTGAATATATGGTAGGAAAAAAGGGGAGGGCAAGACCGAGACCAAAGGGGCAAAGTGTTAAACGTGGATGAAAGGGGATGTGAAAGATGGTTGTGCTATTCTAACAACTTCTCTGGAAGTTTGAAATAGTTTCAAAAGTGGTCATGGGAGAACCATTTGAAATAGTTTCAAAA